AAAGCGTATCGGGTAAATAGTAAGCGCCAGGTCCCTGAATGACCATTTATCAGGGAAACTTCTAAAAGGAATTCATATATCAGAAGTGCAGTTTGGACTCATGATCTTTAAAGTCCCTTCTAATTGTAAGAGTCCATGAAATTTTAGTTGTTGCTGTTGTGAGTGTGTGTATGTACATGCACACGTGTGTATTAGCCTGATGACTGATATTGTTATACAAATGTTTGCCATTCAATTCAGTGTTAGCAATTAAAAATATATGTAAAAGGAGCACCTGGGTGGCTCAGTCGGTTAAGCGTCTGACTTTGGCTCAGTTCATGATCTCGTGGTTCATGAGTTCGAGCCCTGAGTCGGGCTCTGTGCTGACAGCTCAGAGCCTGGAGCCTGCTTTGGATTCTGTGTGTGTGTCTCTCTCTCTGCCCCTCCCTCCTCATGCTCTGTCTCTCTCAAAAATAAACATTAAAAAAAATTTAAAAAATATATGTAATGTCACAGGAGAAAAACAAAAATATCTCTAGTTTTTGACCTGAAATAATTTTTTGAAGCATAAAGTTCATATGTCTTTATTTATCCCTGTTTAGATCAGGCCATATATATTGCTTATTGTTTTGCAAAACAAAATCACGGTTAGTTCATAAGTGAACCTCTAATATTATCCTTTCCTCTAGAAGCTTCACATCAGTCCATCATTTCATAGTTACTTTGGAAATTCCCATTACCATTCTCTGTGTGTCAGGCCTGCAGTGCAAAAAAATAGTACTTTTTATTGGTAGATTAACTACATTTCAAGATTTCCTTTGTGGGTATTTTGTCCAAGTTCAGCTTCTTAGTGGTACTTACTGAAATGTTCCAGAAGCTAACAATAGGCCCGGGACTCATACTCATGTACCATATAGGGAATGAATCTCAGGTCTTTATTTTGTATTTAAGTCTACCTTGTATATGATTGGTTATATATTTTCTTTTACTATTCTCTCTCATTTAAAAAGTAATATGGGATGCCTGGCTGGCTCAGCTGGTGGAGCATGTGACTCTGGATCTCAGGATTGTGAGTTCAAGCCCCCCTTTGGGTATAGAGATTAGTTAAAAATAAAATCTAGGGGCACCTGGGTGGCTCAGTTGGTTAAGCATCTAACTTCAGTTTAGGTCATGATCTCACTGTCTGTGAGTTCGAGCCCTGAATCTGGCTCTGTGCTGACAGCTCAGAGCCTGGAGCCTACTTCTGATTCTGTGTCTCCCTCTCTCTCTGCCCCTCTCCCGCTCACACTCTGTCTCTCTCTCAAAAATAAACATTAACTTTTTTTTTAAATAAAATCCAAAAAAATAAAAAAATTACAGAAAAAGTAGTACATATTCACTGTAGAAAACTCAATCATCATATGAAGGTACAAATAAGGCACACACCTCATTATTTTAATCAGCAGCCAAACACAATCACCATGAATCATTTGTGAACATTCTTCCAGAATTCTCGGTGCTTATATACACATATACACAGATAAATGATTTTACATAAACGGGATTATTCCACATGCAGTATTTCATAACATCTGTTTTCATTTAACACGTCGTGAGCTTTTGTCATGTCGAAGAGTACAGAGACTGAACCATTAACAACTGGGGTTAGCACATTGTTCCTGTCTGCTGGTAACTCTCTTTCGGACAAAAACAACTATGGCATATTCTATGTGGTCCTGGAATACTCACAGTAGTCTCTCCCCACTTGGTGTGTAGCAGGGAATTGGCTGACCCAGGCCTCACAAAGAAGAGTTCTCTTTGTCCTTAGCTAGAGGAATCTCCTGAGGCCAATCAATATCATCTCTCAGATTTAATATAGGACCGCAGGGGAAAAGAAAGTCTCGCTTCCTTTGGGATTGACAATTATGAAGACATTATAAACCAAAGCTGCCTGCAGCCCTCTTCACTGACTTCAAGAAGGAAGCTGTCTGCGACAGGAAAGTTGAAGCCAGTGCACAAAAAGCAGCAGAGATCAGCAAAGATGAGAGATGGACGTAAGAGAGAAGTGATATATTGGACCCTGGATCCAGCCACGCCGAAAGCTACTTCATCTGGACTACAGTTAGTGCTGCTAGGCGGTGACATATGCTTTCCTCACAATCACTTACCGCACAAAGTTGTTCAATAAAAACCCCAGGGTTTACGTGGAAAATGAGGCTAGGAGTACAACATTCAAAAACTTTAGATCTAGAGATGTTAAATTACTATATGGTACACCTGAAACTAACATAGCACTGTATGTCAACTGTATTCAAATAAAAAAGTTTTTTAAAAACCATACCAAGAAAATACTATGTGTTTATGAAAACAGAATAATACCTAACTGCTCTTTAAACCACCCCCCAAAAGCCAAAAAAATAAAAACAGAAACTGTTGTCAGTGACATGCACGCAAAAAGATACAAACCTAATAAAAATGGTAGCATAGTTTTACACCTATTAAATGGTTACAAAAGAAATACTGAAATAAATATGGCACTTTATTTTATTTTTTTTTTAAGTTTATTTATTTGAGAGAGACAGAGCAGGGTGGGGGTGGGGTAGAGAGAGAAGGAGACAGAGAATCCCAAGCAGGCTCCTCAGTGCCAGCCCAGAGCCTGATGCGGGGCTGGAACCCACGAAACCGCGAGATCACAACCTGAGCCAAAACCAGGAGTCAGATGCTGAACCGACTGAGCCACCCAGGTGCCCCTATGGCACTCTATTTTAAAAAAGGCCTGAAGTTTGCTTCGTGTGGAAATGGGTTGGGGCTTGTGAGTTCTTGTGAAGTGATAGGAGAGCGATCTGAAATCAGACTCTGACAGAAAGTCGTAATACTTCAATATGGATGGGTGGGACTCAAACACATCCGACGAGCTAAAGCAGATGGCAGTTGTCTGAGGTACGTGCGTGTGTATTTTGCGCATTCCTATGTGACTTGATTCAGCTGGGTGTAGTTTTCTGCTTTCACCTAGTGCTCCTGGCTGGCAGAATCACACGTAAGGAAATGCAAAATGCACCTTATGCTCAAATTGCTCTCTAATAATATTAATCACAAAGGAACAGACAAGTGGTAGAGCAGTCTGTATTTGATTGTGCAAATGAATAAATTCCCTTTTTGTGTTTCAGATAATCCCAGTTAGTTTTATTCCAGTGTCCCGAACAGTAATACGTGCATGGCTACTTAGTATTCTATTACATAATAATAACACAATTTAAATCCCTAACGGGCTTTTCTGCATCTCTTAACAAATTTCAGACCAGCTTTCTCTACTTTCAGCTCTTGTGTGCTCAGAGGTTGAAAATTCATTTTAATATTAAGACAAACAAAACATTATTAAGAAGGTGGTATGGACCTAAAAAATATATAAAGACTCCAAAGCCAAACAGAATTTTTTTTAATATTTACCATCATAATCTGGAACACAGCTGACCTTTCAAACATAATTGAAGGTTGATTATTACAGAATTTCATCTTGCCCCTGAGAAATTTTGGCCAGTTTCAGAATGATTTTCTTTTATGGATTCTGACACTTCAAAATCCATAAAAACTCTCATGGAGATTATAATATTAAATCAGTTCACATCAATATTGTTTCTCAAATCATCTAACCCTGTATATAAATCATCTAACCCTGTATATAAAAGGTTTTTCCCTGGGGCTCCCGGGTGGCTCAGTCGGTTGAGCATCTGACTTCAGCTCAGGTTATGAGCTAAGGGGTTGTGGGTTTGAGTCTCGCGTTGGGCTCTGTGGTGACAGCTCAGAGCCTGGAGCCTGCTTCAGAGTCTGTCTCTCTCTCTCTCTCTCTCTCTCTCTGCCCCTCCCCCACTCCATCTCCCCCAACCTCAAAAATAAATAAACATTACAATATTTTTTTAATTAAAAAATAATAAAGAAATGTTAAAAAAAATTAAAGGAAAAAAGTTTTTCCCTGACTTATCACTTTAGCTCTTGTTTGTAACAAAAGTCTATGCCCATGACAGTCTGGTCACTGACGTTCCCAGTGATTACCCTTGAGGTTGCAGAAAAATTGGCCCCAAGTACACTGCCAGTTTGTATTATTCTTGCCAAGAGAAGAGAGTAAGCATCCCACAGACAAAGTGCTCCATATACTGGTTTGGGAACTCTCACCTCCGGAACCCCTAAGTAGAGTTTATGCTGTACAGAAAAGGAGGCATGAAAAGTTTCCACTAGGCCTGTGTAGTTTTTAAAGTCACTAGGAACGAGCCAGGTGGGAAAAGGTTTTATCCTCATTCTTATCTGTATATACGATTTTGTGGCATTATACAATTCCGTCATGAAACAAATTCAAATAACCATTTAATATGCGTGTGTTCAGTTCTGAGATACCTTAGAAAATAGTATCCCATGGACCAAAGGTAGGCACAATTTTCTGCAAAGAGCCTAATCGGAAATATTTTAGGCTTTGTAGGCCATACAGTCTCTGTCCCAACTACTCAACTCCACCCTAAAAGCAGACAGACAGTACAGAGACAAATAAGCCTGGCTGTGTTCCAATAAAACTTTACAGTAGCCCCCCTTTATCCATGGGGGCTGTGTTCTAGCCCTGGACCCTGCCGTGCCTGAAGCTACACATAGTCCCAAACCCTATATATACTATGTTTTTCCCTATCCATACATACCTATGAAAAGTACAATTTATAGGGGCACCTGAGTGGCTCAACCATCTGGCTCTTGATTTCAGCTCAGGTCACGATCTTACGGATCATGAGTTCGAGCCCCATGTCAGGCTCTGTGCTGACAGCATGGAGCCTACTTGGGATTCTCTTTCTCTCTCTCTCTCTCTCTCTCTGCTTCCCCTCTGCCTGCTCTCTCTCTCTCTCTCTCAAAATAAGTACAAATAAACTTTAAAAAAGTATAAATTAGGCACAGTAAAATATTAACAATAACTAATAATAAAATAGGATAATTGTAACAACATACTGTAATAAAACTTATGTGAATACGGTCTATCTCAAAATATGCTGTTGTACTGTACTCACCCCTTTTTGTGGTGACATGAAATGACAAAATGCCTGTGTGATGAAATAGAGTGAGGTAAATGATGTAGGTATTCTGATGTACCGTTAGAAGATACGTCAGGAGGACCATCTGCTTCTGAACCACAGTTGATCTCGGGCAACTGAAGCTGCAGAAAGCGAAATAATGATAAGAGGGAATTGCTGTGTTTGCAAAAACAGACGGTGGGACAGATTTGTCCAGTGCACCATAATTTGCCAACTCCTGCTTTGGACCAACAGCCTTCAATTTTTTTTAACGGCTCCTTGGGGCAGTCTCTGGCACCTCAGGGAAGGCCAGGCAGGCAGGGACCTGGACTACTCCTGCTTCAACTGGAGCAGTTATTATTTTTATGAGAAGTACACTTTTGCATGGAATTAAGTTTGATGAAAAAGTTTCATTTCTAGGAGTGCCTGGGTGGCTCAGTCAGTTGAGAGCCCAACTCTTGATTTCAACTCAGGTCATAAGCTCATGGTTTGTGACATGGAGTCCCACGTTGGGCTTCGTGCGGACAGCAGAGCTTGCTTGGGATTCTCTCCCTCGCTCTCTCTCTCTCTGCCCCTCCACCCCTATCAAAATGGATAAATAAACTTAAAAAAAAATAAGTTTCAGTTCTAATAAGGAGAAAAGCCTTAAAACTACTGCCTTGTACTAGACCTAAAATCTGCTGCTTTAAAACTTTAGATGATTCAGCCAAAACATCTCTTAAAATTA